CCTATTCTATCTCTATTCTAATTTTTCATTTATATTTATATTTTTCTATTTTTTATTTTCTTTTACTCACTCTATTGCACTTATCATTGTCATTCATTCACATTCATGAATATAAAAAAATTTTGGCTTATTAATTTTTCAAAGTACATCTTACAATAAATACAAAAAATATATTTCTATCCGTATGTATGCAGGTTTTTTTGTTAGACCAATTTTTCTAAAAAATGTTCTTATAATCGAGAAGAAAAATAATTTGAAAAAAAGAATGAAGATCTTATTTTAGTAAAATTAGGTTTTTTTTTTCAATTTTTTCTTCAAAAAATATCATTCGATTGTATTTCATTTTAATATTTCTTTTTTTTCTTCTTTCCTTTTCTTTTTTTTTTTTTTTTTTTTTTCTTTTAAATTACATTATATGAATATATTTTAATCCGATAATTCTATTTAATAGATATTATTAAAAGTAAGATACGAAAATTTAATTTCCTTTTCTTTTCTCTTCTTTTTTATTAATTAATTCGACACGGTAATTAAAAAAATTCTGTTATATATCTTATTTTATTATTACGTTTTTTCTTATTTTTTTTTTTTTTGATCTTATTCTTTACGTTCGTTTAAGAAGGAAAAAAAATTATTTATTATTAAAAATTACTTAAAATTACTTATATTTCCGACAGAGTTAATATAGTTAATTATTTTCTTTCAATTATTTCTTTCATTTTGTAAATTTTTCTTATCTCATTTCTCCTTTTCTTTACTTTTATGACAATTATCAACATTGTTTTTTTTTTTTTTATTAATTTTTCAAAACATCCCACAATAGCTATAAAAATATTTTTCTATCCGTATATATATATGTGGATTTTTTCTAAATCGATTTTTATACAAAAAAAAAATATTCTTGCAATGGTTAAGAAAGAAAATTTGAAAAAAATTAATAGAGAAAGTTCTTACTTGGGTAAATTTTTTTGTTCAACTTTTTCTTTCGAAAGAACCATTCAATTATATTTCCTTTTCTTTTCTTTTTCTTTTTTCGTTAACTTAAAATTGTACAAACATTTTATTCGGATAATATTATTTAATCATATTCATTTAATTTTATTTTATCGCACAATTGACATGAAATTTGCAATTTGAACTTTAAGTAAATGTTTGACCGGCTTTATGCCTGCGATCACTCATTAAGTATTATTTTATCCACATAATATTATCTAGATAATTTTATCTTATTTACATAAGTTACATCATATTTAGATATGATTCATTTTTCTTAATTAATTTATAATTAATAATTAATATACAAATTTTATATCTAAATTAATTATTAAATTAAACTATTAAATTACGATAAATAATTGTCATGGAATTAAAAACAAAATGAAACTGTTTTACAAATGTTTGACAAAACCGTTCAACAAGAATTTCAATGGAATCAGTTTGACATAATTTAATTAATTTTTTAAAATAAAAAATTTATCTTTCAAGATGGTTCACTATTTTTCATTGATATATTTCTATTTTTCATTGGTGTTAACAAAATATAAACTACAAATATAAGCGATATTGTATCTAACTACATAACAATTGGTTTCATATGGATTAGAGTAAGTAGTGTTAGTAAGGCTGTGAAATTATACTTTTCAAGCTTTTATATGTATATCTTTTTTGGAATTTTTTAATATGCCTCTTGCAATAATTCGTCCTAGATATGAAATCAAATTTTTCATCGACACACACACTTGTTTCACGATCAATGCATAAACAATAATAAATATAATTAATAGTAATATAAGAATAATAAATATAAATAACGTATAATAATTTGTATATAAATTTATGACAAAGGAACAAGATTTTGTTGAATGTTTTATCAAAAATAATTAGTAAATATTAATTGTAGTATATATACATATATATATATATATATATATATATATATATATATATATATATATATTCTTATAATATTATATAAAGGAATTTATTATATATTCTACAAAGGAAACCATAACAAAATAGTGCTGGAAGAAAAATTTCATAAATAATATTAAAATGAACTCGTCTTTTGATTTTTATTAAAAATAATATATATATATATAAATGTGTGTGTGTGTATGTTCACTAATTATTAATTTTGAACATAAATAATCGAACAAGTATATATATATATATTTTTTATATATGCATTTATCATTGAACAAAATTAAATCGTTGCTTTGTTCTATCATAGCATAAATCACCATAAAATTCACGTCAGCCATCAAAGGAAGAAATAAATATAAGAGATTAGATAGTAAAATTTCATTGAATTATTAAAATAAGAAGAAAAAGAAAAAATTCATTCATTATTTTCATTTACATCGATATTTTCTTTGCCGACACAATTATGATTTTACATTAAAAATATTATTAAAAAAAAAAAAAAAAAAAAAAAAAAGAAAAATCTTGATAATGCTACCGTTACGAATGATTCGGATTTTGTTTATGTGACAAAGATGCTTTTGATATATTTTTTAAGTTCACTCGTTCATCGACCTTTCACCTCTCTCTCGCTCTCTCTCTCTCTCTCTCTCTCTCTCTCTCTCTCTCTCTCTTTTTTCTGGGTCCAAATGATCTCTTGTTGTCACTTGCAAGTAAGCAAGCACGAAAATCAAAGGTAATCATTTTTTTTTTTTTAACAAATTTATCTAACTAGCATACTATGCTGTGTTAACTTCAAGATCTCCAATTCAAATTCCAATGGCGAGTGACAAAGAATGACCTTGTTTAATTTTTTTCGTTTCAAAAAATAATTAAAATATTTTTTTTTTTTTTTTATTTTATTCTTACTGTTCACGATTAACTGATACGACTAATTGATCACGATTAATTGATATCGACGACCTGAAAAATATTAAAAAAAAAAAAAAAAAAAAAAAAAAAAAAAAATATTTTTCATATTTCCAAATAATATAAAAAAAAAAAATATTTCAAATAGAAATACCTGTTCAATGTTCGTAAATCTTTCAACTGTCGTGTCAAGGACGAAATTGGAATGAGATTCTTATAAGAGATCACGAATTTTGATCTGAAAATTTCTAACACAATCAAACAAATTATCATGCGATACGAGAGGACGAATTTGAATCTGAGAATTTCTCGCATAAGTTAACGTTTCACTCGTTATCTTAACGTTGCCTCTTTTCTTTTTGGTATACATTTCTTCTTTAATTTTCTTTTTCTTTTTTTTTCTTTTTTATGTATTCGGTGCTTCCATTCGAAACGTTTGAAATTATTTAAATAAATGAAATTATTTAAATAAATTATTTAAATAAATTATTAACTTAAAATTTTTAACTTTACTTACAATAGATCAAGGATATCGTTAAAAGTTTCGTATCTTTTATTTCCTAGACGATATTTTTTTTTATGTTTTAACAATTCTAACAAACGAATTATGGAATCGTTCATTCTATAATATATAATCAAATCATCATTTTTAACACATTTCTATCCAATATCGTCAAATATTTTAATAAATTTTCAATTGGTACATCCATTATTATTTTCATTTCTCATATGATTATTCAAAATCAATATTATCATGATCATAACTTCGGTTAAACCTATTAATTGCTTCAACTTTATTAAATCCATTAGAATTAATTAGAATTAATTATTCCTTTGTTCTTGCTTGTAATCTGTGCTTGTAATCTTGTAATCTTTCATATAATCGACTAATAATCTTTCAATGAATCCTATCAATCGATTTAATTGAAAATATTTTTCATTCTTCGTAAGAGTTATAATACTTCGAACGTTTCAAACTTCAGTATTTTGAGAGATTATTATTAATTAGTAATTCGTTTCACATTGCCATAGTTTCCTTTTTTTTTTTTCCAAGAAATCAAACGCAAAAACTACTCTGTTTTCTTTTCTTTTTGTTCTAAACAAAATCATCATTTCGAGTTAAGTCAAGCATTAATAAACGCTACGATATATTTCAATTATTTTGAACGAAATACCAATAACAAAATGCGTTTTTTGCCTCGTACCATATTGTCTTCCTCTCATTGTTCTACAAAGTATCACGTACATCAACAAACATCAACGTATAACATTTTAACTTGATCGTACTTAAAATTTATAATTAAATTCTAAACTAAGAATACTAATCGTTTGAATAATAATATATCTTCTTGTTCTTACGATGGAATAAATAAGATTTTGAAAAAGTTTTGTAGTTTTACAAAAAATGCTTTCTATGATCTCTCTATTCTCTTCAATATGTTTTGTATACAAAACTATTGTTCTTCTTATAGATATATTCAAGGACATTAACAATGAGAGACAAGGACACTTAAAAAAAAAAAAAAATATATATATATATATATATATATATATATATATATATATATATATATATATATATATAATGGAATTAGTCATCGCTCGTATTTAGATCACTACAATTATATGTTAAATTATATGATTTCAAAAGAATTCACGTTACATGATGTTATTATTACATCTCTATTTATATATATATATATATATTCAAAAATAGAAATAATAATGAGACAAGAACATATACATATACGTATGGAATTAATTATCGCATACGTATGAGTATCTTATGATTTCACGTTAAATAATATGTCATCAAAAGGATTTACATTTTATGGTATTATATTATTTTCAATTTAAACAAAATATATAGGATATTTCTAAAATAAAATATCTATTATTTATATAAAACAATAAAAATACAATTGATTGTATTTTTTACAATCTATATGATAACACATGATATTTACATCAAAGATCATTATTTTAAATATATGATTAATGATCATTATTAATAATAAAATATCATTATGTAATATATGTGGCCAATAAATAAATAGATCAATATTTATTATAAATCACGATGCAATTTGAATATGATAATTAATTATTTATATTGATCATTTATATCACTATATAATATATTTTATTATTGATACTGATCATAATATTCATTCATTCACAACTTGTTTCTATATTTATTCTCTATCTCTTTCTCTTTCTCTTTCTCACCATATCTCTGTATACTTAATTCTTTTACATTCATTTTTTTCTTTTTATTTCATTTTCATTCTATATCATCGTCAACTTCGAAGTTTCATTTCAAAAGAAATCACGTATACATATACAAATATGTATTTAAAGGGCAAACTTCGAATCATCAGTTTTGAAATTTTTTTGAATAAATTTATTGCACCTTTAAAAATGTTAATAACTGTAGCCGATATTAATTATTTTATCATTGAATTTTACATGGTCACCGTGACGTGAAAAACAATGAAAACATTTTGTATAGGTGATGACCTATCGGTCATCGAGATATCAACATTTAATAAGCTACAATTACCTTTTATCATGACTATGTGATATTGGAATTTTGCTTTCTTTTTTTCTCAGTATAGAAAAAAACTGAATAAATGTCCATTGAAATAGCTATTAATTTTCTCAGCCAGGTATACGTAATTACTTAAATACGTATCATAAATACATAATTATTTCAAGGAAAACAACTTTCTGTTACTTTTTGTATGTTACTTTTTGCACGTCCAACGTTAACAAGATCAAAATAATTTATTTATTAATTTTTTCTTCTTATCAGTTTTAAATACTAAATAATAAATATTAAATATTTGTTGATTGTAAAAATGTATACAATCAAATTCTGATCAAAATAATGAGATCAGTATAATAAAATATCCTACATTGTTGTACATTAATTATAATTCTACACAACATATAAGTCAATTGTATTTCTTTCTTGATCTTTAACCTGAGATTTTAATAATATATATCAAAAAATATGATATAAATTAAGTTACAATATTTTATCTCTTCTTTTAAAATTTAGTCTAACTATAAGTACAAGTTTATTTATATTTAAACCGTTTAACGATTACATATTATATACGTATATAATTTATATATATTTATATATATATATATATATATATATATATATATATATATATATATATATATAAATTAAATCGTTAAGCATTTTGTAATTTGTACTATTATGTATACAGTAACATAAATACATTATTTAGCTACTTTAGAATGTTCATTCTTGATCAAATAAATATAAATTAAAATGAAAATAAATATAAAAGTAATATAATTTGTCATTTTAAAAAAGATAAGAATGTTTTTAAATGAATATCACATATATCAATTTTCAAGACTCAAAATCTAATGTCTGATTTAATATCACACTTCAAATATTATAAACTCTTTTTTATAAAACTAATGGTAGTATATCTGACTCATATTTTTTTGCCCACTAAAATGAAGTATATATTATAAGAAATTAAGAAATCTTTAAGTTGAATTAGGATGAAATAATAATACAGAAATAATAATTAGATCACAAGTAAATAACTCACTGAATCTTTCATGAGCTCTTTGCGTTGAAGCGTTCTACCCATTTTCAAAAGATAAATGTGATTGATATTAGGACATATACACAATTTCTCGATCAAATAATTTTCCTAAAAGATTTTGTTCGTTTGATTATGAATATACTTTTGATCGTAATAAAACTCTTGAACGGATGAGAGATTGTTGATATTTTCAAAGGCTTCTTCTTGTTCGTTCTCTTTCAATGACACATCCATCGTTGCTATTTTCCAAAATCAATCTGTAAACGTAAACATAAATATAGAGACATTCTTCACTTCTCTATCGTATTCATTAATTTTGATATTTCCTTTTTTTTTCTACTTCATGTTTTTTTTCTTTTTTTTTTTTCTTTTTTTTAACTATCCATGCATAAATATTAGATTGATTATATAGTCATAGTAATAAAATAATATTTTTCTAAATAATGTTTTGGACATACTTTATCACTGTTATTATAAAAAATTATATTAAAAGATGCAATTCCAATACTGAAATTTATTATAATTATAATTTTGATTTGTCATTATTTGCTTACATTAATCACTCAGTCTAGGACATACATATATATGTATATATATATATGTATGTATATATATACATATATACATATATACATATATATATATATATATACATACATACATACTTTATATATATATATACATACTTTAGAGTTCCAAATGTATAAAAAATAATAGCAGTAGGAAATAGAAAATGATTAGTATAATAAATGACCTATCTTAATAGTAAAATAAAAAATTAATAAAGTAAATAATTAAATTCATTAACTTCATGGTTTCTTTTTTTTTGTTCATAAAAAACTGTTGAATCTAACTTAATGAAACTTTCACAGAATATTATATATACTTCATGAATTTACTATTTCACTTTCATTGAATTACATGTAATAAGAATTAAAATAAAATCCTTCTTTTGTTATATTTTCTTATAGTTCGTTATTTTCAATATTTTTGTATTTATTTCATATTTTATATATCTATGATGTTAAAAACTTAATATCAAAAGAATGTTATAAATGAATTATAGAAAAAGTTAAGAGTGAATTTTAAATAGTTCTTGATAAAAATCAAATATTTGTTCAAATGAATAAAGTAAGTTTTAGTAATTATGATTAAAAAGTAATTTTAATAAAAGCTTACTTGTTCATAAAAATACCAATTAGTACCATCCATTGGTGTAATGATAATACTTTTGCGTTATCCAAATGAATTTTCTTTCATCATTACAAAGATATTGTCTTTAGACAATATTTAGACTTCTAGTTCTGCTTTATCAGTTTGCTTCTTATCCAGGTTTTTCAGTATAGCTTGTTTTATCTTCTAGCTCTTCCATTTTGCTTGCATTATCAACATTAAATATGACCATAGGAATCACATCAAGCTTCAATGTATGGGTCTATACAAATACATTTTTTGATACTTTTGTTCATGCAAAGTCATTGAATGATTAATTTATATTATGTATATTTTATGAGACATTTCTTCATTAGATTTGGATTTGTCAAATCTTTGTTTTTCAGTCAAGTAAAGAATTCTTATAGATAAAGTTCTGTTCCAGCCATTTTATAATTATATCAAAGAAAAATTTTGATACAGCTAGTAATCAATCTGATATTATATAGAAATATTGTTGCACATACAGCTTTTTTTTTTTCTTTTTATAACATCTAAGTTATATGTATTGTATCTTTTAGCTTGACTATAATATCCTGAAAGTTAATCAATGGAATTGTTCTGAGAGACAATTTTTGAATGTCAAAAAAAAAGTGATATCTCAAACAGCTCCTTCCCTGATCTAAGTCATATTTTCATTCAATTCATTATCCTTGTAAAACATTATTTATGACTTTTACAATTTCTACAAGAAATAATTGAACTCTAGAAACTAATTCATTTCTTTTAGTGATATCTTCAATTAATGTTTATTCTCCCTCCACTGCAAATTGCAAATTATAAAATCATTAAATACCAAATTAAGAATACTGGAACCTGTAATTATATTAATATCTTTATCACTTACATTATCTTATTTGAATACACTTCATTAGATTTTACAAACCTTGTTTTTTAGAAACATGAAAGTGCAGACATTTTTATCGTTGATGTATTGAGTGATCCTGTTAATCCTAACCTCTTTTGCAACATTTGAAATAACATAAGTTCTGTAAAACAGATTTCCGTACATTTTTCTTTTTTCTTTTCTTTTTTCCTTAAACATTCCTTTAGCTCCTATAATAGGGAAATGTAATAAGTAATAAGTAATCGAAACATAACCAAGTTGTAATGGGAAAAAGTTATATTCACATTATAAACTAAAAGAACGTCACTGTCTCAATCGTCAATTAAATTATAAAAAAAAAAAATAAATAAGTAAGACAAAACCGAAATAAAATTTGAAAGGATACAATTTTTATAATAAAAAATCAAGCTTACCTTATTCAATGGAATCATATAACCTTTTTCTACGCGCAATCGATGTAAATTCAATGATATAGAAATAAGGGTCCATTTGATCAATAATTTAATGAGAAAATCCTTTTCACAATATGAAAGCGTATATCAAGTACTAACGTTAATTAAGAATACTTTCTAATAATTGTAGCGTAGCAGAGTGTAAATGCGTCATTAATGTAAACGATGCCAACAGAGAGCGCTCCGATACGCGGCTGATCAATCATTGGGCGATAAAGCGACCAATGAGAACGCTTCATATGACGTGCTTCTAATCGAGAGACAAAAGAAGCCCATCGAAATAATCGCTCATTTACGATCTGACCGCGATAGTGATAGGACGTAATTAATAGAGATACGTACTTACGAAGAAAGACGTAGAGTATATTATATATATATATATATATATATATATATATGGATGTATTGCACAATTTTATATTCAATCTAAGGAGATAAGGTAGATCATTAAAAATCATTTTATATAAATTATATAAATTGAAATCAAACGTTTAAGGGGTATAAACGACAAAGAACAATTAAAAAGAAAGAAAAATAAACCATACGTGAGAATTATTTCAACTAGTCGAACATGCCTTTCTTTCTTCGAAAAAATTTAAAAAAATTGAAGATCTTTAGTCTTAGTTGGGAATATTATACGACTACAAAATTGTGCGACAAAACGAAGAGGATGTTTTACGGTCGATATTATTTGCGAACGATTAATCTTTCGTAAGTCATTGGTCTTGACCTGACGCAATGACGATCGGGAACGATACGTACACGTACGGACACTGTCTATGCAAATATAAACAATAAAATAAAACGATTTATATTAACGTATTACATTATCAAAAATCAACAAAGGAAACTACTAAGAGCAAAGTATAGAATTTAGTTTCTTCGCTTTGTGAGGAAGTAAGATTGCGTTCAACAGGGAGCTTGGATCTGGTGCACGTCAGTGGTAAATATGATAACGCATATTATTTCATCCTGGTTTTAATTTATAAAAAGAAAAAGAAGAAAAAAAATGTCAACAACACACGGTGTTCCCAAGCGGTCACCCATCCAAGTACTAACCGTGCCCAACGTTGCTTAACTTCAGTGATCGGACGAGAACTGGTGCTTTACAACGCGGTATGATCGTTGACTTGAAACCACTTTCATTTTATGCGTATTTTACCTTCTAAAAAAATTAATTTATTCTAAAGTTTATTTCATTTGTATAAAGTACATTAAGTGCGTTAAGTAAAACGTAGTGTACCATATAAAAAAAAGGAGTAAATACAAAATTCTTTAATTTCTTCGCTTTATTAGGAAGTAAGATTGCGATCAATGAAACAAGCATCTTAAATTCGGAGCAAATCAGTGAAGTGACGTACAATGACGCATATTCTATTGTAGTTTTGGTTATTTATAAAAAAAAAAAAAAAAATGAAAAAGAAAGTAAAAAAATGTCAACAACACACGGTGTTCCCAAGCGGTCACCCATCCAAGTACTAACCGTGCCCAACGTTGCTTAACTTCAGTGATCGGACGAGAACTGGTGCTTTACAACGCGGTATGATCGTTGACTTAATAACTTTATTTTTTTATTTGTTATTTCTGTTTGTATAAAAATTGATTTATTATAAAGTATTTTTCATTTGTTCTAAATCTATTAAGTGCATTAAGTAACATGGATTACATGATTTAAAAATTATATATAAGTTGTTTCAGTTTCTTTGCTTTGTTAGGAAGTAAGATTGCGATCGATGAAACAGGCATCTTAGATTCGGAGCAAATGAGTAGAAGTGACGTACAATGACGCATATCATTGTATTGTAGTTTTGGTTGTTTATAAAAAAAAAAAAATGAAAAAGAAAGTAAAAAAATGTCAACAACACACGGTGTTCCCAAGCGGTCACCCATCCAAGTACTAACCGTGCCCAACGTTGCTTAACTTCAGTGATCAGACGAGAACTGGTGCTTTACAACGCGGTATGATCGTTGACTTATAAACGTATTGATTCATATGATATTTTAGTATTTAAAAAAATTGATTTATTATAGATTAGTCTTTATTCATATTAAGTACATTAAGTGGGTTAAATAATATGAAGTATATTACTTAAAAAATATATATATATATTTATATATAAGTTTTTATATATATAGCTATTTGTTACCGTCAGATACTAATTTGTGTTTTGCTACTTTATCATCAAGTGATATTATCGACGGTAAATATTTCTACCTTACTTACGTGAGTTATTGATAGAACTTTTATTCTACCATGGATCGATAGGTAATTGAATGTTACCGACCGTTGTTGATAACTTAGCTAGTTGGTAATATATATTAATAATAATTATTATGATTAGTATTTAGTACTAACTTTCTAATTGTCATAATATTAGTATCTATTACTAATTTCTAAGTATCCAGATTAGTTAATATATAACACATTGTTTACTGGATATAAAAAAAAGGTACAATATATTATATATTTTTCAAAATAGTTGTTCATAATTATGGTCATTCGTAAAAGTATGCAATTTAAATAAATCTAATGTAATTTTTCGAATATATTTTTTCTTTTGAAATGAATTTTTTATACTGTAATGCATTTCATATTATTTTGTGTTCGTTAATATGATATATAAATGTTTACGTTTAGTGATTTAGAAATTGGTGTTCATATTTGGTAATAATATATATGTTATTTATTTTTTTATAATTTTTTGGATTGAAAATTTGATATTGATGTCATATACATTTTCGTAAGTCTTCTGTTTGTTTTAAATACTATTGTGAAAATTCTTGTCGATAATTTCAAATTGTTTATTGAACACATGTATGCTTTCAAAATAGCGGCAATATGATCATATAAATTTCAATCTTTAAAATTATCTAAAAAACTTAATTGTTTCGAATCAAATTTTACGAATATTTACATAAATTTTGAAGACGTTTTGTTTAAAATTTCCAAGTACTTGAACAATTATTTAAACATGGTAATCACATAATTTAATTTAATCTAATTTAGTCTAATCGTAAAATCGGTTTTTTCGTTACTTTTTTCGTTTTGCATCATATCACAAAACCTAATCAAACGTCATTTATTCTTATATTTTATTATTATTCTTTTTTTCTGGTAAAAGTTTTCTCTAATTTAAACGAATGATAAGTGTGGTCTATTCCTGCTTTGTTATTTCTTTCTCTTTTTACATTATACCAGAACTTTCAATCGAATGTCATTTGTTATTATTATTATTATTATTATTATTATTATTTTTTAATTAATAGATTTCTCTAATTTACATCAATTTAGATTAACCGTAATAGCTATTTAATTCATGACTCATCATAAATTTCTTTTTGTATTATATCACAGTTTACTCAATTGAACGTCATTTATTCTTATTATTATCTTTTCTTTACATTTTTTCATTTTTTTTCTTTTTTTTTTCAGGTGGCAGATTTCTCTAATACAGTAAAAGCGATAACAATCAGCAAACAAATGTTATGTCTGACAGGACTTTGGCCATTGAATATACGTGACAGTTTATTTATATCGTTTGTAATTTATGGCTATACCTTTTTTTTATTGGGACTATTAGATCTGTATAATTGCATTAACAATTTTCGTTACGTTTTGGATAACATAATGGAGAACATTTTGATATTAATGACGATAACAAAAGTTTCAATGTTACGAATAAAGTGTCGTATGTTGTCACAATTTCTTATAGAAACCAAAGTGGATTATACAGCTGATAATTATAAAAACGACGATGAGAGATTGATTTTTTTAAAATATAACAATCTTTCTTATAGATACGTCACCGGTTTGTTTACCTTGTCGGTGTTCTTACTTCTTCTTTATTATTTTAAATCTATCATACCGAATATAATATTGGGTAATAATCTTGATAATTAGAGTTTCAATATTACTATGATCTCGAAATTATAATTAGTTAATTAAATGCATTCATTTTTATTCAAACGATGAAAAATAAAAAAAAGATAAAAGAGTAAAGAAATCCAAAAAAATCAAAGAAATGAGAAAAAATCAAAAAATAGTTTACATGTATAACTGTATATATATATATACATATATATATAGCTATATATAATCATAAATATATATATATATATATATATATATATATATATATATTTGTATGGCTAGATGTGTATTAGTAAATATATTTGCGGTAAATATGAATTGTCATTGGTTTTTAAACAATTAAATTAGATTAATTTTTATTTTTTTTTTTTGAATCACTTATCATTAAACAAATTACGAATTTATTTCATGATTTTTGTTTAAATATATATATATATATATATATTTTCTTTTTTTTTTTATTTCCAATCAAATGATAAAAATATGAGATATAAAGAATAATTTTTATTGACGAATAATTTTATTAAATTCTAATTATCTTTCAACGCAGTTATGACAAATTCTACAGCGGAATATAAATTGCCATATAAAATAAAACCATTGTTGAAGCCGTACGATGCAAAAAGTTATGCGTTTGGTTGTATACACGAATTTTTACGTGTAATATTAATACTTTCTGGTTACGTCGGAACTGATTGTTTGTTGATTTGTATTGGTTTTCATTTAACCGGTCAATTGGCCTTACTCAAATTCAGAATGAAGGATGTTCCAATTGATACCGATGGTTCTCGATGGGGAATTCAAAAAATGATTCGACGACATCAACATTTGATAAGGTGACATCACTTTTCTAATTAAATCATTTAATTCTTAATGGAACGTCTATTGAATGAAATCTTTTTTTTTTTCTTTTTGAACGATTCAAATGCATCGATGAATACGACTTATGAGACGCCGATTGTTTTAATATTTTTAGGATATGAATTTTTTTGATAATTTTTTTTTTCTTTTTTCTTAAAAATTTCGCTAGAATTTCGTTACGACAAAATAGTTTTGTTTCCTAACGGGGATTGTTTATAATAAATTTATAATGTTGATTTTCTTTAATGAGATTGTAAACGTTTTAATTGCAAGAAAAATTTCAATGATTATGATTTTTGTCGTAGACTTATGCGAGAAAGTCGAAAAATTTTTTCAACGATGCCATATTTGCTCTAACATTCAGAATGAAACAAATATATTTTACGTCTTAATTAATATAAATTTAATATAATTTCATTGTGTGTATGAAAATATATCTTTTCGGTTTTTTTTTTTTTTATAT